GGAGGGGGTGTATGATGTGATATGGGCATAACCACCCTTTTTTCCAATTTTTTTTCCCCCCAGTTTTTAAATTCAAAAAATCTGTATCTTATTAAGATACAGATCACTCTCGAGTTTTTAGTCAAAGAAAATATGCTTTTAGTGTCTTATGAAAATCAGTTGTATAACATATCAACACATTGTTTTCCATCAGAGCCTCCTGGCTTTAAGGTGAACAAGCCTCCAGTCACTCAAATCTGGCTGACAAAAACATAGTGTCATGCCCTGCTTAATACCAAATTAAAAAGTCGTGTTTGGTTTGCAGTTTTTCCAGTTACCGACTGCTTGAGCTTTTCAACCCTATATTCAAATCAATAGCCCATTCTTTACACATCATCAGCATATAATGCCTTTGGTATAGGGGTCAAATGTCCCACTGTGATCTAACAGTTAAACAATAGGTTACCTCGTTTATTGTTTAATTGTTTACTTTTGAGTTATGTTATTAAAGAAGGTTCGGTCAAAGTCATGTCTGTGTCATTCATCCCAAATAACCAGATATTTTTCCTGTTGCTCATTCATAATAAAGAACTTTTTATAGTGAGTACCAGGGGAGGAGACTTGATGACATTTTCAAGTTTAGGAACTTATGTGACTGTTTAGAAGTGGAAACCCTATATAGTTAATGGTACTTTGGGTGGGTTATGTAAAGATGCCATTATACATTAGAAATAATTTTTAAAATTTAAAATAGTGTCACATGTTTATCTTGTAATATCTCTTGGTATCAAAATGGAATAATCTGAATGATGACAATTTCTAATTAGGCCCACACTATAGTAAACCCCCATTCATACTACAATTTCATTTGACAAAAACATGGGACATACCTAAATATGGTCATGACATCATCACATCTTAGGCACATCATGACTATATTTGGACATAGTCATCAAATGTCAATTAACACTAATGCAACTCATTGCTTCACAGCTAATCACATAATGGAATCTCATGATGTTCACATTTTTTATGGATGAAGATTGTTATTGAACATGAATGTTTTTGTGACCTGTACTACTATAAGTAGCCATATAAGACTGATTCTAGAAGACAAAGGTTTATAGCACACTTATACCCATTTCACACTAGCAGAAAATATTACAACTTTTAACAACTATTAACAAGTTGTAACAAGTTTGATATTCCGAGATTTTTGGTTCGTTTCACACATGCACTTTCAAACCATGAGAAATCTCGGGTAAACTCGGAAGAATATTATGACTAGGCCTAGAGTAGTACTAGTAGGCCTAGGCTAGTTGTAGGTTGTCCGAATTACATATCAACTACTAAACTAGGCCTGGTACCGAATTAACAAGATTATAATTATTCCATGGTCCTTAGCCTTCGGCGAGTAAAACGAACTCCGAGCTCGCTTGCTGTAGTCAAGCTGGCGAGAAAGATAGGCCTAGGCTAGCTAGGCACAGTCGGGCTGCCGGCCGGTAGCTCACCATTGTTGTTAGAGGCAATCAGTGTGACAAGCATCATAATGATTCGCTGTCGGCGTATTTTACGAAGCCTCGTAATTGTTTCTACATCAGACATGTGAAATTTAGCGAGATTTCTTTTGATTTTAGGTCTAGGCCTATTAACAAATGGTAGTAATGTTGATACGTTTTCCATCGCTGCCGCCATTCGTTCGAACTAAACAACAAAAAAAACACAACCCACGAAAAGGTCAAAATATGGACATGACGC